GAGGGCAGGCCGGGCTGCCGGGCCGGCCCTGGGGGCGCTGCAGGGCGCCCGGTTGTCACTCGGGGCTGGGGAAGCGCCGCGCTCCCCGGGATGGTGGCCTCGGCCCCGTGCGGTGTTTCTCCGCCCGTTCCGTACCCCGGCCACGCTCTGCCCCTCGGATGTGTCGCCTGCCGCGTCTCCTGTGACCACCTGCTACCGCTGTGTCCCCTGTGCCGTAGGTCTGTCCCCTGTGCCGTAGGTCTGTCCCCGTGCTGCTCTACCGAGGCCGTGTCACCCTTCCACGGCCGTGACCCTGTACCATGGCCATGACCCTGTACCATGGTCATGTCTGCATGTCACCCTGCCATGGCCATGACCCTGTACCGTGGCTATGTCCCCATGTCACCCTGCCATGGCCATCGCCCTCTATTGTACCCTGGCTATGTCCCCATGTCACTCTGCCACGGCCGTGATTCCAAACGATGGCCATTCCTCTCCCCCCCACCCCGCCTCCCAGCATGATTCCATGCTGTGGTGGTGTCCCCATGTCACCTTGGTGCCACGCAGTGGCCTGGTGCCGTGCCAACCATCAGAGGTGCCCCTTGGTGGCCAGGTCTTCCCCAGCCCGGTCCGGACCCGTCACTTCTCACCTGCAGCAGGGATTGTGCAAGAGTGGGTGTGAACGCTCGCCCCTGCACTTGAACATTAGGTGTAGACCAAGAGCAGCACCCACTAATTAACCCCAGCGCCTGCGAGGGCATTGCTGGCCCGTTGCTGCCACGGACAGCGGGACTGCCCGCTCCAAAATCTTTGGGGCGGGGGGGTGATGGGGGTTGGAGGAGCTCCCCATGGGTCCAGTGTGGCTCACACCTCCTGGGAAAGGTGGCCACCCTCTTTGCAACCCCTTTCTGATCTTGCAGTGCTCCCTGGGTCAGGAAAAGGACTTAATCCTCTCCTGCATTAGTGACGGTGACCCCGGGCGCGCGCTGGCGGGGAGCGAGCCCTGCTTGGACGCCCGTCAGGAACCTCTGCCCTCAATCCCTCGCTGCCAGGACTCGTTTCCCCATCGCCTGGCACCGATTGCCAGGCAATCTGCAGCTCTTGGCATCCCCTGTCCCCCTCTGCTTGCTGCAGAGGGCACGGGCTGGGGTGGCCGGTTGTGTCCCCCCAGCCCTTTTGGGGCCGGATGCTGTCAGAGGTGGGTTACGCTCTGTGACCCTGGGACACATGGCCCTGGGGACTGGGTTTTTCCTGTGGCTTGGTCTCCCTGAGCTCCTTTCCCAGCTTTTCTCCTCGTCCCTGGGGAATTGCAGAAACTCTTGGTGGTGCCATGGCTTGGGGACACCGCCGTGACCGTGTCACACCAGCCACCGCTCGGGGTGTTGCTGGGGAGTATCGGGTGCTCCTTATTGCCGGTTTGGCTTGCAGCTCCCAGCTCTGGCACGTGCCCTGCCCTTCCTGCCTACCCGTGTCCCGTGGGAGGCTGCAGGGGACGGGATCGTGGCCTCTCGTGACGCTGTGTCATGGTGGGGGCTGCTCCCACACCTCGGCTCCATCCCCCAAAACCAAACACGGCACTGGGAACCAGTTCCTGGTCCCAGAGGGACACACGCACACGTCAGCACCAGGCCCTCACTGGGGAAAAGCTGCTGTATCCAACCATCACGGGTGGGGTGGGCTGGGAATGGGGACCCCGTCTCTGCTGTGCCCCAAAAGCCTTGGGGTGCTTAAGGGGGTGTCTGTCTTGCAGGGGTTGGCTGGCCTGGTGTCCCCGGCTGCGCACCCTCCTCCTGGACCTGCTCCTCATCTACATCTCCGTGCCCTTCCTCATCCGCCTCTTCCCCATCGTCCTCACCAAATTCGTCTTCCTGAACTTCCGTGAGTGCTTTGGGGTTGTCAGAGCCCCCCCCAACTTCCTCCAGGGATTCAGCAGGCAGAGGGATGGGGGGGTTAGAATCATAGAATGGTTTGGGTTGGAAGGGACCTTAAAGATCATCGAGTTCCAACCCCCCTGCCCTGGGCAGGGACACCTCCCACCAGACCAGGTTGCTCCAAGCCCCCTCCAACCTGGCCTTGAACCCCTCCAGGGATGGGGCAGCCACAGCTTCTCTGGGCAACCTGGGCCAGGCTCTCACCACCCTCACAGTCAAGGATTCCATCCTAATATCTCATCCAAATATTCAGTCTAAACATGGGTGGATGCTACAGAGGACAGACTTGACCCAGCTCTTCAACAGAACAAGTAGAAAGCTTGAGGGACATCAGAAAACCAGAGGCATCCTTGTCCTCAGTGCCCAGCTCCCGGGGCTGATGCCCTTCCCAAGGCTGTGAGACTATTTTGCCCCACGCCAGGGGGAACATAGTGCAAATCATCGAGTTCCAACCCCCTGCCCTGGGCAGGGACACCTTCCACCAGACCAGGTTGCTCCAAGCCCCATCCAGCCTGGCCTTGAACCCCTCCACAACTTCCCTGGGCAACCTGTTCCAGTGTCTCACCACCCTCATAGTAAAAAATTTCTTCCTGAGATCTAACCTGAATCTTTTTTCTTCCAAGAAAAGGGTTGTGTGGGGGTGTCCCCAAGATGGGAGTGGGGCTGCACCCAGCACATGGGTGGCACTGGGGCAGCAGCACCCATCCCACCTCCCTCCCCCTCGTCCTGGGCTTGCAGAGGAGGCTCAGAGGGACCTTTCCCGTTGGCGCCTCGTGTTTTGCAAGCTGTAATAACGCGGTGCTGCCGACCCTGTTTACTGCTTTGCTGGAATTGCAACACATCTGGGCACGCACGGCATGGACGGGGCTAGAAATCCGGGTGGGAGGAGGTGGCAGAGGGCTGTGCTCACCTACCCGCTCCCTGGGCTGGCTGGAGCACGGCCCTTTGGCTTCCGGACAAATCATTTCCAAAAAAAAATAAAAATAAAGGGCTACAAAGGTGATTCAAGGACTGGAGCATCTCCCTTATGAGGAGAGGCTGAAAGAGCTGGGACTCTTTAGTCTGGAGAAGAGAAGGCTGAGGGGAGACCTTATTAATGCCTACAAGTATCTCAAAGGTGGGCTGAGGGAGGAGGGAACGCTCTTTTCAGTAGTTGCCAGTGAGAGGACAAGGGGCAACGGGCACAAGTTGGAACATAAAGGGTTCCACTTGAATATGAGGAAGAACTTTTTCACAGTGAGGGTGAAAGAGCCCTGGAACAGGCTGCCCAGGGAGGTTGTGGAGTCCCCTTTTTTGGAGATTTTCAAGACCCACCTGGATGCAGTCCTGAGTAACACGCTCTGACAAGCTCTGGGTGGTCCTGCTTTGGCAGGGGAGTTGGGCTAGATGATCTCTATGGTCCCTTCCAACTCTAAAAATTCAGTGAAATTCAGTGAAAACCATATTGCTTTGGGAAAAAAAAAATAAAATGCCCAAAAGGAGCTGGGTATGAGGGTTCCCCGTGTGATGGCCACCGTTTCTCCATCAGTGTCCTTCCCCTTCTTCGTGGACCTTCGGCGGCCGGAGCTGCTGCTGAACAACACCATCAGCCTGTACCTCCCCACCGAGCCGGGCGTTACGGTCGGCATCTGGTGAGTGGGGCATCCCGGGTGGGCACAGCTGGGCTAAAGAGGGTGAATACCCCCTTTGATAACCCCACTCTGTCCGTCCCCCCCCCAACAGGCACACGGTGCCGGGCAGCAGAGGGGCCGAGGCGCAGGGCAAGGACCAGCGGTGGTACGAGGAGGCCCTTGGTGATGCTCACCCCGTCATCATCTACCTGCATGGCAACGGGGGCACCAGGTGAGTACCCCCAAGAACGTGCGTGCCCTCTCCCTGGGGAGGACAGCTGTGGTGGCTTCTCTGGCACAGCAGCTCTCCATGGGCTGAGAACTAGCAAACTCAGTGCAGCAGCCAGCGGTGCTGGTGGGGCTGGGGCTGCTGCAGCGTGGCAACGGGGGCACCAGGTGAGTACCCCCAAGAACGTGCGTGCCCTCTCCCTGGGGAGGACAGCTGTGGTGGCTTCTCTGGCACAGCAGCTCTCCATGGGCTGAGAACTAGCAAACTCAGTGCAGCAGCCAGCGGTGCTGGTGGGGCTGGGGCTGCTGCAGCGGATTCCGACCCTGTAGGTGGAAGAAAATCCTTTTAAGTTAAAGGAGAACATCAAAACCCAGCCACCCCAGCTCTCCCCTCCTGGAAAAAGGCCACCCTGTCCCTCTCCTGGAGGGGAGGGTTCCTTGAGGGTCCCTCCCCAAGCTCTAACCTCATTTTCCCCATCAGGGCTGCGAGCCACCGCGTCCAGTTCTTGAAGGTAAGTGGTCCTCTGAGGTGACCTGCCAGGGCTAAGGCTCCGGGGACCCAAGGGGGACCCTGGGCAGAGTGAACCCAGCGGATTCCGACCCTGTAGGTGGAAGAAAATCCTTTTAAGTTAAAGGAGAACATCAAAACCCAGCCACCCCAGCTCTCCCCTCCTGGAAAAAGGCCACCCTGTCCCTCTCCTGGAGGGGAGGGTTCCTTGAGGGTCCCTCCCCAAGCTCTAACCTCATTTTCCCCATCAGGGCTGCGAGCCACCGCGTCCAGTTCTTGAAGGTAAGTGGTCCTCTGAGGTGACCGGTTATTCTGGGGGGGTCCTGGGGGTGCTCCATCCCAGGACATAACGCTGTGATGCTCCTCTGACAGACGATGGGGGCTGCTGACTTCCACATCCTGGCTCTGGACTACAGAGGTAAAGTCACCTCCTGCCTCTTGCTGAGTGACCTCCCCCCAATCTGGGGCCATCTCCCCACTTCTTCTGGGTCGTGACACCATGCCGTGTCCCCCGCAGGCTACGGGGACTCCAGTGGGTACCCCACGGAGAGTGGCTTCACCACGGATGTCCTGGCGCTCTACGACTGGGCCAAAGCACGGAGTGGGAACAGCAGCATCCTCTTCTGGGGACACTCCTTGGGGACGGGGTAAGTTGTGGGGCAGGGTGATGGTGACACTGAAGCCCACAGCTGGTCCCTGGGCTGTGACACTGCTGCCAGGCCAGTGCCACCCAGGGATGGACCAAGAGGTTGGAGGAGCTCCTTGGTGGAGGCACCTGCAAAGCAAAAGCCATCAGGGAAGGGGAGAGGGTGTGGGTCTGAGGGTGCTGTGCACCCCACGGGGGCATCCTGGCTGCTCCCCTCCACTTGTCACCTCTCTTGTCACAGGATTGCCACAAACACAGCAAGGAAGTTGCAGGAGGAACGAGGTAAGGGCCAGCAGGTCTGGCTCGGTCCCACGTGGTGTCCCCCCTGCCCCTGCACACCTTGGGACAGATTTTGGGGGGGGCCACAGAGAAGCTGGGGAGCCCTGTCACTCTTTGCTTGAGCACTCTTGTGAGGGTACTCTTGGCCCTCACAACAGGGACAAGTGGCTGTCCCCATCCTCCTTAGTGGGACAGGGATGGCCTCACGATGGGAGCATGGCAGCAGATGGAGGGGGGGGTGACAATCCTGTCCCCCCCCCATGGCTTACTCTTGCCCCACTCTGCCCTCAGGGGTCCAGGTAGACGCCGTGGTCCTGGAGTCACCCTACACCAACATCCGCGAGGCGGCCGCCCACATCCCCATCACCACGGTGAGACCATGGTGGGGGCTATCCCTATGGGGTGTCCCCCCCCCACCTCTCAGGGCTCCCCCCAGCAGGGGAAGGGTACATCAATCCAAGCCCCAGCTTAGAGCACCCTCCCCCAAACTCTCTCCCTGCCAGATCTACCGCCAGTTCCCGGGTTTCGGGTACTTCATCCTGGACTCGCTGGCCCTGGGTGACATGTTCTTCCCCAGCGACGAGAAGTGAGTGGCCAAAGGGAAGGGGCACAGCCACCCCCATGGGGCTGTGGGGACGATGCTGAGACCACCCCCCCGAGGAAAAAGTGCTGGGGGGGGGGAAGAGGAAGTTGGACACATCACACCACACCATGCCTGCACTCCTATTTGTGTTTGCCCAGCTTACTCATGCTTTGAGTGCCTTTTTATTTGCCCAACTTCACCTACCAACGCTACTGTTGAGCAAAGTCCACAAGCCAACATCCTTTTTTGTATTTTTTTTTTTTTTTGGGGAGGACTACGTGCTCCAGTCCCACCCCTGTTGTGGTATAGACATGCTGTGGTGGCCAGGTCCTTCCTCCTCCATGGCTATGGGTGCCTTTGCTAAAAACCACCAAGTTCATGGGTCCTTTTGAAGCTTAAGCACCTTTTTTTGGAGGGGGGAATTAAATTTAGGAGGGTGCTTGGTGCTGCTGCGGTGGGTGGACATCACCCCAGGACAGTTCAGCTGCCCTTAGCTGGGGTGGCTCTGAAAAAGCAGCACCTTAGGGGTGGTTGGGGTATCTGGGGGGGATGTTTAGGAGCTCCCAGGGGGTCTGGGGGCTCCAAGGTGCTGTGCTTGCTGTCAACAGCGTGAAGGTGCTGGCCTGCCCCCTCCTCATCCTGCACGCAGAAGATGATGCTGTGCTGCCTCCGCACCTGGGGCGCAAGGTAGGGACCACCATCACCTCCATGGGGGCTGTGATGGGGGTTTTCAGGGGGGGCTGAGGGAGAGGGGGTTGTGGGGAGGGAGGAATGGTGGAGACACGCTGCTGGGCGAGAGCTCAGCAGGTGACCTTGCGTTGATGGGAAGGAAGCCTTGGGACCAGGAAAACAAATGTCTTTACATGGTATTATTTGCGTGGTGTGAAATCTAGCGAGGAAAATAAGAGATAATAATGTTTGGATAACATGGGCCCGTGGACACTTATTTGTAGCCAATTGTATTGCTCACAACAGCGTGTGGACAAGCCCCACAACCTGTCTGTAGAGAGCACAGCACCTGAGCAAAAGAGAGAAACTATATGTGCTATAAAATTAAAATATTAAATGTCTTCACTTCATCACTTGGTGGAGTCCCTGCCCTTTGTTGCCGCAGGGGGTGGCCGGCCATAGGGTACCAGGAAGGGTTTTGGGGTCCCCTGCGCCCACCACTGACCACATTTCCCACCCCACGGTAGCTCTTCGAGACCGCACGCGATGCCTACAAGGACAAAACCAAGGTGAAGTTCATTACCTTTCCCGAAAAGCTGGGTCTGGGCCACGACTACATCTCCTTCAACCCGGAGCTGCCCACGCTGGTCAAGTAAGTGCTGCTCTGCAGAAACCTGGGGGGCATGGAATGAGCCTTGTCCTCTTCTTCCATGGGTTCATCCTCCCCTGTAGCAACCACACGGGTCCCTTTGGCCTCTGGAAAATGCTCGTTGGCATCAATTTTTTGAGCTCCAGTCGCTCCTCGCTGCCCTGAGCCATGGGGAGGAGGTGGCCCTGGGGACATCTGTGCCCTGGGTGCAGCTTTGCTCCATGCCCAGCTCCAACCCACATCCAGGGCTCAGAAATCAGGCTCTCAAGCAGCACAGGGTGGTCGGTGATAACAGCAGAAGATGTATTGCATCTCGTTGCAGAGACTTCTTGAAGATGAAGTGATGCCTGCTGCTGCACTGGAACAGGCTGCCCAGGGAGGGTGTGGAGTTCCTTCTTCTGGACATCTTCAAGCCCCACCTGGATGCCATCCTGAGTGATGGATCTCTAGGATCTCTAGAGGTCCCTTCCACCTCTGTCCAAATCTGTGAATCTCTGGGCGGCCACCACAAGCACTCCCTCCAACCTCCCCAGGAACCCTTCCTTGCACTGAATTTACTGCTGTACGGAATAAAAACTACTGAGAAACTTTCTAATTAGCCCCTTGCCTGAGGATGCTGCAGGTTCCTCGGGGGAGGGAGACACTGATGCCAGGAGCATCGTACGGGGCGGCGATGGGGGTCCATCAGGGACCTGACAGCAGACACCCCTTAACTCCACCCCCCCAAACTTGATGCCTTGGGGCATCCTCCAAGTCCTGCTTCAGCATGGCCTGCAAGGGCTCGGCCAGCTGTGGCCAGATGTCCTTCCCACCCATCCTACACCCAGCACCTCACTCCCTGCACCCTCCTCCTGCATTAGACCCTCATTTTAAACTTCAGCAAAAAGCCCTTTTGGACTCCAGTGGCAGTTTTATTTTTAGCACCTACGCAAGTGACAGGACGAGGTGGTTTCACTTCCCACGTGACACTTATGTTATAAAAATACCCCACCCCCCCCCTCCCCAGCTTCCCCATCCCACCCCAGCTTCCCCATCCCTTGGAAAACCAGCAGCAGTGACACAGAGACTACAGACAGCAGAGACAATTTTACAGCGCGTGTGTCTGGCGTCCACCAGTGATGGCGCCGTCCCCCCCTTACGCCGCCGTGCCGTTGGGGGTCTTGTCCTCCACCGCATCCCGGGGCTCATTGGGTGGTGGGATCTTCAGGTCGGAGGGTTCCACGTGCCAGATGTCCCGGGCGTACTCCTTGATGGTGCGGTCGCTGGAGAACTTGCCGGCCGCCGCGATGTTCCTGATGACCATCTTGGTCCACGCCTTGGAGTTCTGCAAGGAGAGTGGTGGGATGCTGTGACCAGACTTGGTGCCACGTTGGCTGCGAGACCAGCTTTCAGGCAGGGACCTCCTGCAGCAGGACAGCCAGGAGCCTCCCCACCAGCCCCTTTCTCTGGGATGGGCTGATGTGGTCCCATCACAGCTCCCCGGCCTCATCCCCAGGCTGGTACTCACCAGGTACAGCTCGCTGACCTTCTCCTGGCATTTGACATAAGCCTCGTAGTCTGCAAAGACTTTAAACCTGTGGCAGCAAAAAAAGGGGGAGTCAGTGACAGCAGAAACGTGTAGGTGGGAGCACAGTGGTGACCGGTGGCTGCAGCGCACAGGGCTCCAGCTGCCAGATCTGGGGCTTCCTCCAACACAAATGCTTCAGAGAAATTCATCCTCCCCAAGCTCTGATCATACGGAGCCCACAGAAGCTGTGGCACGGGTTGGATGGGTGCCCCAGGAGGGCACACCATGTATCAGCTCCTTGGGAAAACATCTCCCCAGCCCTTGGCTGCTTAGTGCTCTGGCCAAGAAAGCCCTTGAGATACCTAAAAGCAGCTATCACCTGGCAAAGGCTCTGCACTCAAATGTGTCCCGGCCTTAATGTGGCAAATGTGAAGTGCCTTACGTGGAGAAGCTTTTGTCCCCATGGAGCTTCAATTGCTCTTCCACATGCACAACATCAGGGCCAGAATGGTTGGTGCATGGGCACCAGGAGTTTGGTGGAGAAATCCAACCCAGGGGAGGGATGGCATCCCAGGCCTCACCGGTCATGGTGGAAGAGCATGTCGACCACGTCTTTGAAGAGGTCAGGGTCCTTTGGGGAGAAGAAGCCACTCTTAATCTGGTCAACGGCTCTCTTCAACTCGGGGAGCTGGTCGTAGTACTTCTGGGCGTTGTACCTGGTGGGGAAGGGTTGATATAAGATGGTCTTGCTCCACCTGCCCATGGTAGCACCCCCATGGCATACCCAGTCCTCACCCTTCCCTGTCCAGCTCCGTGACATCCTCCACCCTCATGCCAAAGATGAACAGGTTTTCCTCTCCAGCCTCCTCAGCCATTTCCACGTTGGCTCCATCCATGGTGCCGATGGTCAGAGCCCCGTTCAGCATGAACTTCATGTTGCCTGTGCCTGATGCCTCGGTGCCTGCCGTGGAGATCTGCTCTGACAGGTCGGTAGCAGGGATCACTGGCAACAAAACACATGGACACAAGGGCCTCGTGGTGACCAGATTTGGGCTTGTACCATGACAAAGGACATTAGATCTGCTGCCTCACAATGATGGAGCCATGGGCTGATGGACAGCCACAGGGCAGATGTCCCCTGCCCCGCCACAGCTTGCCCCATGTGGGCTACCTTTCTCTGCCAGTGAGACCCTGTAGTTCTCCAGGAAGATGACCTTCAGTTTGCTCCCCACAACGGGGTCGTTGTTCACCACATGAGCCACTGCATTAATGAGCTTGATGATCATTTTAGCCATGTGATATCCTGGGGCAGCCTAGAAGAAAAGCCACAGGTGAGCCTGGAGGGGCTCACCCAGGAGCAGCGAAGGAGGACTCAGCTCCCACTTGCCCAGGGAAGTATCTGCTCAGCCCTGATTCCATCTCTCATCCAACTCATACGTTGTGCCACCAAGTTTTTGAGGGCTTGCATGCCCAGAGGTAGCAAAACCTTGCTTGGGTTGAAGCCAACAAGGGCTGCCTCAGGGCTTCCTAGGGGGCTTTGGGGACACAACCCCATGAGAACATCTGCACCCAAATCCCCTAGGCCATTTTCAAGGAAATGCCCAAAACTTCTGACCCAGCTGATCCCACCCAGAGAAGCTGTGGCTGCCCCATCCCTGGAAGAGTTCAAGGCCAGGTTGGAGGGGGCTTTGAGCAACCTGGTCTGGTGGGAGGTGTCCCTGCCCAGGGCAGGGGGGTGGAACTCATCATCTTTAAGGTCCCTTCCAGCCTAAACCATTCTATGAACTTACCTTGCCCCCAATGATCACTGTCCTCGGCACAAACACCTTCGCAGGATCCCTCCTGATGCCTGGAGAAGACAGCAGCATGGTGTCACCCTCTGTTTTAGCTGCAGCCCCAGGGCAGCCCAAACCTTTCTATGAACTTACCTTGCCCCCGATGATCACCGTCCTCGGCACAAACACCTTCGCAGGATCCCTCCTGATGCCTGGAGAAGACAGCAGCATGGTGTCACCCTCTGTTTTAGCTGCAGCCCCAGGGCAGAGGGACATTCGTGCACCCCCAGGACAGCCTGTCCCCCTGGGGGTCGCGGTGGCTTACGGTTGTACATGGTGATGATGTGCAGACAGTTCATCAGCTGCCGCTTGTACTCGTGGATCCTCTTCACGTGCACGTCGAACATGGAGGAAGGGTTGATCTTCACCTTGTACTCCTTCTCCAGGTACAGCGCGAACTTCACCTTGTTCTCCTGGGCAAGGGGCAGGGAGGGTGTCACCCCCTGGGCCTGTCCCCCCCATCCCTATGTCCTCCCCTGCCCACAGCCCTCACCTGCTTCACTTTGGCAACCTCCCGGATGAAGAGATCGTCGTCCACAAACTCGTGCAGCTTCGTCAACTGGCTCAGGTCCCGCACGTAGTCCTCCCCTATTTTCTGCAACAGGAGCAGAGGAACATGGTGACTGCAGGATAGGGATGGCCACCTTCACTGGGGCAACGTTGGGGGCCAACGTTACCTCTGCGATGAGCTCAGCCAGCCCCGGGTTGCAGAGCAGGAGCCGGGAGCAGAGGAACACGGTGACTGCAGGATGGGGATGGCCACCTTCACTGGGGCAACCTTGGGGGCCAGTGTTACCTCTGCGATGAGCTCGGCCAGCCCCGGGTTGCAGAGCAGGAGCCAACGCCGCGGGGTGATGCCGTTGGTCTTGTTCTGAAACTTCTCCGGTTCCAGCGCTGCAAAGTCCTCGAAGCTGCCAGGACCAGGAGGGGACAGCTTCAGGTTGACCTACCCCGGCACCACCACCGTTTCCAAGCCAAGGGTGATCCACCACTGCCTCCCCCCCCAAGGCTTACACTTGAGTCTTGACTATTTCGGAGTGGATCTTCGCCACCCCGTTGACGGCGTGGGAGCCGACGATGCAGAGGTGGGCCATGTTGATCCTCTTGGTGCCACCCTCCTCTATCAGGGACATCCTCCGCAGCCGGTCCACGTCGTTAGGGAAGAGGGACGCGATGTGCTGCCGGTGGAGAGGTGGTGAGTGGTAATGGCCTTTAGGCATGTCCCATACCATGGCCCCCAAAGATGAGGCCACAGCGATGTCCCCAGTGCCTTCAACACTGGTCAGAGTGGTGGCTTTTACTCCAGAGCAAGGGTGCAAGCCCACTCCAAATGGTGCCCTTCCCCAGCATCGATGTCTTTGGACAGGATCCCCCAGGTTCTCATGGAGAGGGACTTGTGGGCACATCCTTGGCCAGTGGGGCCATTTTGGCAAAACCCTGGTGCTGCCAGACCAGGAGGCCAAACCACCACCTCCTTTGTACCCCCAACCTCATCCCTCTCCAGGATGAACTTAGCCCTTAGAGAGAAAATGCCAACAGCTAAGTCCCTGGAGCAATGAGTGATGGTTTTAGAACAACCCCTAGCTGTGGGATGGTGATGCACTAGTGGGAAGGGCTTTCCTACACACCAACCTCCCAAAACAGCAGCCAGAACCACCTGGTCACCCCCCGAACATCATCAGTTTGTGCATCCCCTTAACCCCGACAGCACGATGTGTGTCATCCCTGTCCCCCTCTCTGGAGCCACCCCAAGGCACTTACATCCAGGTGTCTCTGGTTGATCTCGTAGATGATCTGCAGGTGTCTGGGGAGCAGCTTCTCCACCAGGTCCACCGGCCAGCGCTCCAGGGCTTCGGGGAGCACCGTGTGGTTGGTGTAGGCGAAGGTCCGCTTGGTGATGTCCCAAGCCTGTTGGTGGGAGAGCGGGTGCTGAGTGGCGAGGGTGGAGGAAGCCCAGGCATGGTCCTCCCACCATGGCCAGCAGCATGGCCCAGCGAGCTCCTCCAAGTCCATATTGGTTAAACCCAACCTGACTGCTCCACATCACTCCCCAAGGCCACCAGCAGCTACAAAACCAGTTCCCCAGCTCCTCCGCTGTGGGTGAGGGCAGAAAGGACCCAGGGACCAGGTCGGGTCTCCCTACCTTGTTCCATGGCAGCTTCTCGATGTCCACGAAAATCCTCATCAGCTCAGGGATGGCCATGGCAGGGTGTGTGTCATTCAGCTGGATGGCAACCTGTGGGAAGAGATGGCAACATGGGGACACGTGGAGGACGTGTGGGCATCCCACTGCCCAAGCCAGCTGGGCACAGGCACCCATGGAGGGTCCACAAAACCCCTCCAGCCCTGGCTGAACATCTGGGAGGCATCGAAACGAGCTCCAAAGCACGGTCAGAGCAACCCTGGCTGGTACCTGGTCGGGGAAGGAATCAAACACGGTTCGGACACTGTCCGTGCTCCCGAATTTGGACGCTTTGAAGCGGCGTATGATGTCCTGGAGGGTGGCAGCCACCACGAAGTACTCCTGCTTCAGCCGCAGCTCCTTCCCCTCGAAGAACTGTGAGCAGAGGAGCAGGACACCGCAGGGTCACACCACGCTGCCCAGGCTGGGGACCCATCCACCGCACGGCACGGTGCCAGCCCCCAGTGCCTCCCCCAGCCCCGGGGCTGGCAGCAGCTCCAACTCCCAACATCTTCTCCCTTTCCAGATTCCACTACCAGCGTTTGAGAGGTGCTGGTAGAAAGAGAGGTTTAAATCCTGCCCCCCGCCCCCCAGCTTCATCAGAACCTGTTCCTCCTGGTTTGAACGTTTCAGCCACAAGAAAAGGTACGGGGGCAACGGGAAGGGGCTGGAACACTGAGGAGCTATTTCTAAGACAAGAATTAAACCCCTCGTTAACGCGACACAAAACACCAACCCGCTGCTCCACCAGGAGGATCTGCAGGAGGCAACCTCCCCAGTGGAGCTGTGATGCCCCCAGCTCTCCTCACCAGCTGGGGTAGGATTAGACAAGCAAAAAAACACCCAAACAGGTTGCAGAGCGAGGAGAGCTGCCCTTCGCCTTCTTCCCCTGCTCCACAGCTTGTTTTGTGGCCGGGGAAGGGTTGTCCACCCCACGGTCCCTGCATGCCAGCCAGTGTGTGGCACAGCAAGGACACAGAATCACAGAATCTTCTAGGTTGGAAGGGACCTCAAAGATCATCTTGTCCAACTGTCAACCTAACTGACAAAAATAGATACCTGCACATCAAACAAGAAGCATCACCATCACTAGGCCATACCTTCCAGCACTACATCAACCCTTCTTTTGAACACCTCCAGGGATGGTGCCTCAACCACCTCCCTGGGCAGCCCATTCCAATGGCTGAGAACCCTTTTCATGAAGAAATCTTTCCTAATATCCAATCTGAACCTCCCCCGGTGTAACTTGAGGCCATTTCCTCTTGTCCTGTCGCCTGTTCCTTGAGAGAAGAGACCAACCCCCACCTCTCTACACCCTCCTTTCAGGGAGTTGCAGAGAGCAAGAAGGTCTCCCCTCAGCCTCCTCTTCTCCAGGCTGAACACCCCCAGCTCCCTCAGCCTCTCCTCACAAGACTTGTGCTCCAGACCCCTGACCATCTTTCTTGCCCTTCTCTGGACCCGCTCCAGCACCTCGATGTCTTTTTTGTGGTAGGGAGCCCAAAACTGGACACAGCACTCAAGGTGGGGACACAGTACTCGAGGTACACGTGCAGCAAGAGGTTTGGGATGAAAAGGGCAACTTCAGGCACAAACTCCGGGCCCGGGGCTGCAAGGGACCAGCGGGGAAATGGCAGCAGCAGTCACCAAACTGCCTTCATGATTTATTTTGAGACTCAAGGAAGGTTCCTGCAGCAGGACGTGCTCCTTCCCCTTCCCGTGCCGAGCAGGGATTTGCCCAGGAATGGACTCATCTCTGCTGCAGCGCCGGCGAGAGGCAGCAACCCCCATCCAAGCACCACGGGTGGCTTAAAACAGAACTCAAAGCACCTCTACAAGGTCCTGGTGGGACAGGCTGCCCCCCCATTGCACCCCCACCGCTCAATCCTTGGCCATTCCTAAAATGGGGACACCCCCTTTGCCCTTCATGATTTATTTTGAGACTCAAGGAAGGTTCCTGCAGCAGGACGTGCTCCTTCCCCTTCCCGTGCCGAGCAGGGATTTGCCCAGGAATGGACTCATCTCTGCTGCAGCGCCGGCGAGAGGCAGCAACCCCCATCCAAGCACCACGGGTGGCTTAAAACAGAACTCAAAGCACCTCTACAAGGTCCTGGTGTGAGAGGCTGCCTCCCTGTTGCACCCCAGCCATTCCTAAAATGGGGACACCCCCTTTGCATCGCGACTTACGTTGTCGTTGGGGTAGAGGACACGGGATATGTTCTCCGCCAGGTTTCTGTCCAGTACGGCCTGGATGTAGTCTCCGACGTTGACTGGGGAGGAGAAGAGGGATAAGGTGGGTGTGGGACCATCCCCCCTCTCTGCCCCATTCCACGCGACACCCCACCAGCACCCACTTACAGTCCCGCAGGTTGAAGTCGTTGGGTGCCCGGGCCGACCACAGGCGCATGGTGTTGACGGTGTTGTTCATGTACCCGGGCACGGGGGTGTCGTAGGGCAACGCCAGCACCACCTAGGACATGGGCAGGGCAGCTGGAGCCGGGATGCCCCCAGTTGGTGTCCCCCCATGTCCCCTCGGACCTCAACCTCAGGGTTGTGTCCACCTTCAAAGGGTGACACGCTTGGTAACCCCCAGCCCCGGGGACACCCCAGCTCCCCCAGGTCTGCCCGGAGCTCTCAAAGGATGGAGAGAAGGTTGTGAGGGTCAGGAGAAGCTTAATTTAAGCTGTTGTGCCAGGCTGTGCATTGAACACAGACCTGCTGGAGGTGCTTTAGGGTACAGAATCATAGAATAGTTCAGGTTGGAAGGGACCTTAAAGATCATCTGGTTCCACCCCCCTGCCCTGGGCAGGGACACCTCCCACCACACCAGGTTGCTCCAAGTCCCCTCCAACCTGGCCTTGAACCCCTCCAGGGATGGGGCAGCCACAACTTCTCTGGGCAACCTAGTCTCACCACCCTCACGGTCAAGAATCTCAGAGGTTGGCTAAGCCCCCACGTCCATCCAATCCTCCATCCCTATGTCCATCTCCTCCCCAGTTTGCTCCACCGCTGCCTCTTCCACCCCAAAGCAGCCCCACCAGCGCAACCCTCCTTGGCAGGGATGCCAGAAGGACCCACACCTGGGTCTCTGCCCCACTGAGAGCCCCCCAGGTGATGGGACAAGCCACACAAGGGGGGTTTTCCCTTCAGGCTGGTCCATACCTGGGTGTCCACCCACTTGGCACCAGTGGCAGAGTGTTCCACCCGGCCGTAGAAGTGGACGGGCAGCATGTACTCGGGACGGGCTTTCTCCCAGGGGTTGCCGTGCCGGAGCCAGTCATCAGCTTCTTCCACCTGCCAGAGGGAGGGATGGAGAGCGGTGACAGGGCCACCCAACCCCAGGGACCTCCTGGGGTTGTGCCACGTGGAGGATGGATGGGAAAGGGGATGATGCTTTGGAGTCTGTCTGCCCTAAACCTGGATTTGGGCACCGCTGGGTGAGCCTGGAGACAGGGCTCTGCCCCCACCACCCTGAAACCCGGGGTGTCCCTGCCAGGGGGGTGATGGATGGGGACGAGGAGGTGGGGATGCCCCCTAAATCAGAGTTTTGACCTCATCCTCCAGGCTGGCTAACGGAGAGGGCTCCTTCCCCACCCCAGCAGGGCTGTTACAGGGGACAGCTCGGGTTCGATGTCACCTTTGTCACAGCCAGGTCAGAGCTCTGGGTGGCAGGGACACTGCGTGAGGGTCGGGGGAGATAAGCTCCATTAGGACCCAGCAGCCAGGGACTGCTGTTTCACAGCACCATCTGTAGGTGCAGCTTTTGGGAGATGCTCACAGGGTCCCTCTGGGTCTTCAGGGCAGTCTCCCACCAGGGGTTCTGCCCACACACACCACATTTTCCATTCCATTTCCAAAACAGCCCCTTCCACCCTCCAACCCTGGTGTCCAGCAGCAGAAGCCAGGGCTGGGGGGCTGGATCTGGCTTGCCCTGGACCTTCCTCCCCACCATCCCCACACCACCTCAGCGAAACCATCCCCACCCGATCCCCAGCCCCACACGCCGGGATGCGGGATGAGCTTCCCCACCACGGGGAGGGATGCTTGGTGCTCACACCAGTTTAATAAGTTAAACTCGTTGGAGAAAACATCCGACAGGTTTTAAATATCACGGCACCAACTCTGCCTCCAGCAACTCCACCTCCAAGCCAAGGGAGAGCATCCGTACCCCCTGATCTTGCCCCGATGGAAGGAAGGGGGGAGGCCGGATTCAGGGCTTGGGATGTGGTGGGGGAAGAAAAGGGCCATGGGGCTCCATCCCTACCTGCCACCCATCCCGGATCTTCTGGTTGAAGATGCCGTACTCGTAGCGGATGCCGTAGCCGTAGGCTGCCAGCCCCAGCGTCGCCATCGAGTCGAGGAAGCAGGCTGTGGGGACAGAGGAGAGCAGGGAGCTGAACTTCCCCTGGGGGGGACAGGAGACCCCAAGTCCTCCTCCCCAAAGGAGAGCCAGGGCCACCAGCCACTTCTGCTCGCTCGCTGGCCACCTCGCACCTCTCCCAAAATAAAGGCTGGAGCAGTAACATCCCCCCACCCTCACCCCAGGGTTGGGTACCTCCTGCGGTGGAAGGAAAGGCTCCAGGGCTGTGTCCCACCACCCAGGCATCGAGACCAATTTTGGGGGGGCTCACTCACCAGCAAGCCTGCCCAGACCACCGTTGCCCAGACCAGCATCCTCCTCGATTTCCTCCAGCTCCTCCATGTCCAGCCCGAGCTACAGATGAGAAGAAGGTGGTGATGAGCTGGAGGGTCTCAGCCCCACAGAGGGGAGGCACTGCTGGCACACACCCCTGGGTGATGCCCAGCACCCACTGCTGCTGTCCCCACCGTGCAGGTGGGCTCCAGGAGGGGTGGAAAGCCATCCAGGCCTGAAAGACCCATCCCTGCAGGTGGGACACTGTGATGTGCACACAAAGCAGCCCCTCTCCCCCTCCACAGCACGGCAGGGACCAGCTCTGGTGTTAAAGGCATCGCACCAGCCTTTACAAGGGACACAGGTGACCTCAGAATCACAGAATGGTTTGGGTGGGAAGGGACCTTAAAGATCATCCAGTGCCACCCCCTGCCCTGGGCAGGGACCCCTCCCACCAGACCAGGTTGTTCCAAGCCCCCTCCAACCTGCCCTTGAACCCCTCCAGGGATGGGGCAGCCACAGCTTCTCTGGGCAACCTGGGCCAGCACCTCACCACCCTCAAAGCGAAGAACTTCTTCCCCAGATCTCATCTCCATCTCCCCTCTTTCAGTGTCAAACCCTTCCCCCTCATCCTATGGTCCCCTCCCTGATCCAGAGTCCCTCCCCATCTCTCCTGGAGCCCCTTGAGGCACTTGAAGGGGCTCTAAGGTCTCCCTGGATCTGTGTAGAGAGCACAGCGCATGATCAAAAGAGAGGAACTATATATGCTGTAAAAACAAAACATTAAATGTCTTTGCTTTATCACTTGGTGGAGTCCGTGCCCTTTGCTGCCGCAGGTTTTGGGGTGGCTCCTTCCTCCCTGTGACCAGCGCTGCTGTGTGTGGCCGGGGTGGTTGCACAACAGCCAGAACAGCTTTTCGAGCAAACATATTCAAAGAAAAGGAAAATGGGGGGTGGGGACAAGGGGGAAGGGTTTTAAACTGAAAGAGGGGAGATGGAGATGAGATCTGGGGAAGAAATTGTTGACTGTGAGGGTGGTGAGAGCCTGGCCCAGGTTGCCCAGAGAAGCTGTGGCTGCCCCATCCCTGGAGGGGTTCAAGGCCAGGTTGGAGGGGGCTTGGAGCAACCTGGTCTGGTGGGAGGTGTCCCTGCCCAGGGACAGGGACGGTCTTTAAGGTCCCTTCCCACCCAAGCCATTCTATGACCTTCCCTGTCACCGGTGCCCAGCAGTGCCGTGCCACATCCCTCGGCACACAGCCACCGAGCTGTGACCCTGGGCCTTTCGAGAGCTGGTTCTGGAGCAGCATTTTTCTGCTCAGGCATCACCTGTGGCTCAAGGAGCAGTTTGCAGCCAGTGTGGTGAAACACCAACATCTCCAGAAGCTGGAGAGCACTGAACCCCCCCCAGTCCCCACCAAGCCCTGGCATGCCCACCTGGTAGACGGCTTCGTCGCAGGCGTTCTGCAGCCCCAGGTTAATCATGGTGTTCTGCAGCGTCCGCCCCATGTAGAACTCCAGGGAGAGGTAGTAAATCCTCTGCAAGAGAGAAACCCACCCCCTGGTTACCTTCCCCAGGGCTGGAGGAGGCTCCCCTGCACCCCAGAACTCCCCATCAGGCGTTATCTCCAAGCAAGAGGGGACAAAAAACGATTCTGCATAGAGCAGGGTGGTTTGCACCGGGAATTTGAGGGCTGGGGGGTCCTTGGAGGTGGTTGTGCCCCACAGCCCCCACCCTGCTCTCCCATCCCAGCTATTTCCCAAGCCGGGAAGAGGGTAGGACTTGAGGTGGGTTTGTTTGGACAAGCCCTGTCCCAGAGCAGGGACAACCCCGGGCCGGTCACCCCGAGCGCGCCGGCGGCGGTACAAAGTTAAATTTTAAAGAGGAGACGTTTCCTAATGTCACCCCGAGCTGCAAGAGCAACCGGAAAACCCAACGAGCCAGTGGGGCCGGGTGCGGGTGGCAGCCTGGGGGACACGGGCTTCCTCTGCTGTCCCCAAAAAGGGGGGGGGTGGCCGGGCTCAGGAGCACGTAACCCCCCCCGAGGGGTGCAGGATGCGGCCAGTAAGGCTGGGGCTTGTGTAAGCCATTCCCCGGTGTCAGCACCGGTGGGTTTTAAGGAAGGATTTAGGCTGGAGGAAGTCGCTGACTTGTCAGGTTCCCCCCCCCCCAACCAGGTCAGGGGGAGGGCGATGGGATGTACTGGGCAGGGTCGGCTGGGCTTACTGGTGTGATCCCAGCAGAGCTGGAGGCAGTGACACTGGGCAGACGGGACCCAGCACGGCTGGGCTACACCAGAGAGCCCCCAAATTCCACCCCTGGGAGAAGCTCAGCCTTTTTTTTTCCTCCCACTACATGATGGGGGGGGGCTGGGACACCAGGGTCCCAGCAAGGTGCTGGCAGGGTGACAATTGGAGGTGACAAGGGCCGTCCAGGTGTCAGGAGGGGATTATTCCTTAATCCCCCCAGCAGCCAGAGCTTCGGAGCAGGACAAATTCCTGCACAAACCAGAGCTTCCCCCCGCCCCGTCCCAGCTCGGGATGGCTGTTTTTGCCAAAACCCACTCCTGGCTGCCTTCGGGTTCGTTAAGGCCCTGCAACTAATTGCCCCTAGAAGGCTTTGCAGCTGTTTTTGGCGGAAAGCACCCACGCTGGGGCTGCGGGACAACACACACTGTGCCCCCCTACCCCCCCCCCCACTCCCCGTGCTCTGTTTGTTTTGCCAAAGCAAAGGACAGTGGCCTCGCTTGTTAAAAGTCCAGTCCCTCCTGGCAAAGTTGGGAGGGGTGGGGGAAATATCCCAAATCCCAAGAAAACCCCCCCCCAACCTATTTTCCATGCATT